GCCTAAAAGCAGTCAAAATTACTTCCTTGGGCAATCTAGTGTTAAGCATTCGTAGGGAATGGAAGGAAAGATAGAAAAATATATAAACTTCGCCGTGACGCGCGAACGAGAAATTCTCCCTCAATTGATACCGGAGCACAAAAATCCGCGGGCTAAGCGTAACAAGGTGCGCTCGTCGCCGCGAACAACTGTGTATAAATCATGCGGTAAACTCGGCTGTTATACTGTGGAATTTCTTCGAGTGTACGAAGGAGCATACCTCGGCCGAGAAATAACACCGCGGAAAACGTTCTTACTGCGATCTAAAACAGTTGTGGGAGAGGCATAAACCGTGAAATACTTTGCAACGCCTCCGCGTAAGACGATGCGTGCACGGCGCGTGCTTTTAACCGAATGCATTTTTCACGAGCAACTGTCACGGAGTTTTTCCACCGGCGATTACGTATTAGTACCACAGAGAGTAAAATATTCCTCGTATTTTACGCGCATTCAATTTTCCCCGGTCTTATTAGCGCGCGGAGCTTTTCGACCCAACTTCCAAGAGCAACTCCATAGGTTACGAGCCGAAATAAATTCCGGATCATCGGCTATCGGACGCAGACATCGAAACCTCGTGAAATATCTTCTGGCCCGGAGCGAGCGAATGCATTCTGCCAAGTCAGGTCCGTGTTCGTACGTACGTGATACGCAGAACGTATCGAGCCGGCCGCAGCTTTTAAATCGTCCCCGTTTCCTTCTCTTTTAACGTACACGCGCGCGCGCGCGCGCTCAGGCACACCTACCGCGAAAATGTAATGTCGTAAATTTTCTCCGGCCCGGGGATCTTGGCATTAACACTTCGAGTAGCTAAGCAACGGTGGTAAACGAGGAGAGAAGATGAAGGAGGGTACCGAACGGCAGGCGAACGAGGCGGGATGCTGCAACGCATTTCAATGTACTTCGGTACGGAACATATTCCTAGACACAGTCAGATGGCCCGGCAACATGCCGCGCGCGTTTCTCCGAGCTTACACGATGCGATCGTGCAGCTACACGCGACGCCCTGTACGACTTCCGAGCCGATGAAAACCGACACCGGCCACTGAAGAAGAAACGACAATTCCAAACGACACTTATTCCTTTATTCAATGATTCCACTGCGGACGTTTATGCAAAATAAACAGCAAATGAAATCTAAATAGAAATTTCCTTTTAAAAATGTAAGAAAATTCGAAAACGCGTAGAAGAGTAGGGGTGACTGTGTCCAACGACACAGGCCTTTCAAGGGTATGCGACTTGACAAAGACCCATAAAACGTAGAACGAAGGTCATACTGGCGATGGGGGAGGTCCTAGGACAACCGAAAGGTTTGACCAAAGAGGTACTGTTGGTACAGCCGTCCTAGTGTTGAGACATCGAGAATAAATACGAGAGTTGACTATATCAAGTATTTTTGTTTCGCCCACGAGTTATTATTTAAACCGTTCGCCACCCTCTTCATTTTACAGTTAGATTTTTGGCAAATCTTACAAAAATTATAATACGCACTGTTCATATTTTGTATAAATATAATTTTCCTCTAAATGCATAAAATGTCTGTTAATATATTTACTACAGACTCTTGAGAGTTGAATTCAGTTTCGAAAAAATTATTCATTTCGCGTAGATACGAGAATGTGCCAGCAGCTCCGTGACGATGGAAACAGTCACGTTTATCACGAAGCGCATCAGGGACGCGAACGCGTGAGAGGTATGTATAAATATAAGAGAACAATCCCGCGTGTAAGGATAAAATGCAGTAATGGGCTAATTTTTGTCGCCGAGAAAAATGACGTTAGACGAGGAGTAAACGGTGGTGCTGCGTTAATGAATTCTCGTAAACACGCGTCTATATTTCAACCGGGTGAACGGTACAACGTAAACGCGCGTGTTCCTCGTGGAAAATAAAAGGGTTTCGATGTAACACTCCGCACACGTATTTGCCAACGCGTTGCAATCCAAGATAGCGCGGACTCTCTCTCTCTCCGTCTCTGTTCCGGAATTGATTCGCTACAAGAAAATGTTTGTCAGCGTTGAAAAGCGTACAACGGTCCTGCCTCTCTCTCTCTCTCGTTTCCGCTTAAAAAATAACAACGTGAATTCGCGTCGAGGCGGGAGGAGGGGAGACATAAATGTTGGATCGAAAAAGCGCATCTGCCGTCTCGGGAGCTTATCAATATTAAAAATGTACTTAAGGGATGGAGGGCATATAAAGTGCATCCGTACGAAGAAAGGAGGGCAGTTACCCTCGTCTTAGGCACTCGAATGTGGTTGCTAGTGCTTCGCAACGACGAAACCCGGGAAAAATAATCGCATTTATCGTTGCATGCCACGAGGAGGAACTGCAGCGACGGCAAATTTATCAAACTAAGTTCCGGCCTAATTCCCTTTGTACCGAAGACAACGTCGGATGATATAATTAGACGACTATTACCGCGAGCAATTCGCAATTCGTTCCCACGACACGAATTCTAGTCTTAGCTTTATTATTATATGAAATTCAGTGTACACTATGTAGTCTCACTAATAAAACGATTTAAAAGAAGTAAAAAACACATTATAATTAAACTGCGTAAGAA